TATACCGGGAGTCTCTATACATTAGGTTAAACCTTCGCACATATCCATATAACGCCGCTCCAAAGACATGGACACACACAGAGAAAAGGACTGCTACTGCCATGCTCTGTTTTCGACATCTGCGTTCAACTATGATACATGTGTAGCTCTTCTGGATCATGCCTCGCTTGACAGGTTGATTCAGTACTCTGATTTTGCGCAGATCCTGTTGCGTGAGACGGCAACCGGTTCCACGCAGGATGATTAGTGTACTTTGCATAAGGCGGAGATTGCTGTTGCCCGTATAGTCCGTAGGTGGGGGCAGGTGACCCCAAGTGGTAGCTGTGACTCGACGACGTCTCGCGTCCGTATTGACCTGGTATGGCAGATGCCGGTGTGGCAAAATGATGCACCATCGAATTGCCATCCCCTTTGCCAGTCTCTGGCTCTGGTATTTCAGCCCTCTTCTTGGCACGTAGACTCCATATGTAGTGTATCAGAGTCCCCAACGCAACAGCAAGTACCGCGCTATTTAGCGCAATACTAATATATATATGTATAGATAGCTTGCTATAAGTCTCATGACGGGTATCCATTTTAAGCGTGTGGAGCGGAGCTTGGTGCAGAGATGGGCATTGGGCGTGATGTTTGTGATCAGAGGTACTAATAGAAAAGTATAAAACGATTCAGAACCTTTCTGGTTAGGTACATATACAGACCGGTTAATCAGTGCGAATAGGGCATAGTATACTGCTGTTGCTGCACATTATCGAAATTCGAACCTGAGAATAGATACTGACAATAAAAAAGGGAGTAACTTAACTTTATCTATTTTGCGATAATAGATTTCTAACTTTAATACCTAGCGAGGAAACACCGTTTGAGTTGCAGTGGTCAGCGCTGACACCAGCCTCAGAACAGCGCGGTGGGTCCTTGTTATCGCCAACGAATTGCCGGCCACGGAACAACTTGTCCGAAGTTGACAGGCTCCCACTAGGCGCACAATCCATGTGCGTTTTATGTAACGTTAATCCTAAATCTGCTTACATAAACCAGAAATGCATCTAACGCAGCGTTGCCCCGCGCCAAAGTCAACACTAAAGTCAACACCAAAGTCAACACCAAAAGCACCACAATGGCCACCTTCCCAGACCACTGCCTCCCTCCCGACGGCTTTTCGGAGTCACGTGACGCTTTGACTCGTATGCGAAGCCTCGAGGCTATGCCTTTACAACTCAACGATCTTTTCGGCGGCTAGACGGCTTTCTGATTGACTTTGGTGTTTACTTTGGCGCGGGGCAACGCTGCATTAGATGCATTTTTGGTTTATGTAAGCAGATTTGGGATTACATAATACGCACATGGATGTGCGCCTAAGTTAACGTTAGTGGGAGCCAAGTTGACATAACAGCTTACTAAACACGCGCACTGCTCTGACGGGGCTGCCCTGATTCGATGGATGGTAGCCATTGAGTCTTGCCATGCCAGTTTAAGTTGAGCGAGCACGCTGGCTTCCTTCCATGTCAGGCGGTCAATAGAGCTGCGTTGTGTGTTTGCCTGGCAATGCTGCGTCGACTCTTTTAGAATGCTTTCCCACTTTGTCCGGCAATTGCTTGCTGATGCCTCTCTTGGAGCGAGCGTCGTTGAGGGTCGTAGACCGCATTGCGGGCGTTTGTGTCTCTGCGGCCAGACTGCTGTCGAGGTTGCCGGAGCGTAAGGACGGCCGCTTTGTTGCTCGTTGATAGCAAGATACTACTCGATCTAAGCGTTGGTAGTGTGCTCAAAGCGCGTTACGTCGCTGCCAGTTCTCCGGAGTATGGGGTCTGTCCTGATCTCACGCCAAGTGTACAGGAAAAGGTCCCAAGCTTTGGGCTACCGTAGATGAACGCCGGCAGCATGACAGCTCCCCCAATCCCGACTACGCCGTTTCGCGCTGAGCTGCTTACGGCGATGCGTATATCGTAGTTGGCATCTCGCTGCGTCGCTTTCAAGTCGTTGGTGATGGTCCGTTTGCGTTCTTCCCACGGCGCTAACGTGAACGGGTTGATGGTTTCTAACTCCTCCAATGCTGTGCCTTTTAGTGCGTCTGCCACCTGGTAGAGTGGCGAGCGGTGTTGTTTTCTAAATTTTAGCATTCGAGATATGTTTCTGCATAGCGGATTGGTATCTGGCAGGATGCGAATGTCGGTCCACAGCTTGATGGCCCGTCTCCAGAACCGGTCTTGTGCGCTGCAGATGTGAGCCTCCGCTTCCGCTACACTCGTTGCCATGGTGCGGAACGTCCCCACAATCGCTTGCGCTGCCATTCTCTGGACCCTGTTGAACGGCCTCACGAGTTTGTCCTTGAAGGCGTGCATCTCACACTCGAGGCGTAGTCCATTACAGAGGCGACTGTGCATGTAAACAGCTGACGCGCCGTTGATGGTGACAAGCCTCGGAGTCTCCGTAGTTCCATTGCTGCCTCCAAGCCCTTGGGCGCGGCCTCCCAAATGTGTTCTTTATACGTCGCATCCATGACCACTCCGAGAATCTTGACTTGATCCTGGGGTTTGAGAGTCTCTCCCTTGATAACGAATGGCTGGGTGTCAATTTGTATGCTTTGCGGATGAAGTGTATGACTGCTGTCTTCTCCGCCTCGAACTTTGCACCGCTCTTTCTTCCCCAGTCTAAAGCCTCCCTAATGATGGTATCGATGCCTTCCCGGTTGCTTTGTGCTGTGGGTCCCGTGACCCACGCGTTGAAGTCGTCATTGAAGGCTATCGCACCTCCATGGCTGTCGATTCGTCGTTGCACTAGATCCGCGTTGAAGAAGAGGAACAGAACGGGGGACAGGGGAGAGCCCTGGGGCAGACCAGCCTGGGGTAGACTTAGGGGCTCCGAGGAGTGCCCATTGACTTGAATTGTTGCTGTACGCTCTGAGCACAAGGCCTCTATCTATCGGAGCAGTCCCTCTGGGATGCCTCGTTCTCTCATCTGCTGGAGAAGTCTTTCTTTGCAAAGTACAAGCGCTTGTTCCGCCGACCGTCGTTTACGGGCCCCGAAGTGGTTTGTCGGTAGGAGCCCGTACGTTTCGACCGCATGCGAAATCCTATTCCGCGACCACCGATTCTCCGAGTGTTGCTAGGAGCGAGATTGGTCTCCAGGCTTTGGCCACTGTGTAATTTTCCTTTCTAGGCTTCTAGAGACGCTCGAAATAGCGCAAGGACATGGTGCTTTACTGCAGGCCACGTCTCTTTCCAAATCGCCGCCGGTAGGCCGTCCTCACCGGGCGCCTTCCATCATTTTGCTGCGAACAGTTGTCGTTCCACCTCTTGTATCGTGATGGGAGGCAGTACTAGAGGCGCTCTTGGCGGTTTGGGACCTTCATTTTCGATGCTCTATGATAAGGAAAGAACTTGGCCATTAGTTCTTCTGCCTGTTCTTTGTTGTTAGCGGTGACGGCTCCATCGGCTTTGAGGAGCTGTGGCACTTTTCCGAACGCCATATCGTCGCCAGCCTTCAGGAACTTAGCTGCCTTCCAAATGTTGGCATTGTCTGCCAGGCACTCATCCCAGCGCACCTCGCGTTAAGCCTAGCCGCGGGATCACTACGTAATCGAACGACAAGTGACTGGAGGTAACTATACCTGAAGCTCTTCGCAAAACAACTTGGGAGGTGCTTTGGACCAGCCAACTCCTGTCATCTGGCGTGCTATCCTGTGCTATACTGTGTTGACTGCAGTGTGCCAACCGCCGCGTGGATCCACACACCTCTCCTGGCTCTTCCGGATTCTTACCGCTTATGTCGTCCATGCGTTGCCGGTGGGAACTCGCCACCAACATTGGTTGAGCGACACCACAGTATCACGCGAAAGGATCACAGCGAGTGGAGGGTGAGTGCGGTGAGCCGCTGAGGATTACCAATTCTCACTCCTGATCCAAGGTGATCAGGTACGGAGGTACCAAATGCAGGAAGCTGCATATAAGACACGTTCTTTAGGCCTATAGGCACCGTTGTAGTTTCTTAGTAAGCAATTATGGTTTGTATCTGCGGGTACGTTGAGACAATGCTTGTGCACATGTTGTAAACCTTTCAATATGTTTGGGAGTCCCTTCAGAGTTGGGGCCTGAGGGATTTGTCACATGGGTGAGGCAATGCGGTCCCGCGTCTGGCCAGACGTCCTATGTAAATCACCTACCTCGGTGCCAGGAAGCTTACTTATAGAGGCTTGCTCTGCGCAAAACCTTGACCAAGCCATAGCCTTTACCAAGTCCTCAGAATTATAACTGACAATTCCAATAGCCACGTCTTGCAGCTAGACGACGCCCTGTTGGTGCTATCCTCAGCGAAATGACGCTCAAAAATTCCCGCTGTCCCATAGCAGCTATACTGAACCATGATCCAGGTCTGCCCAAGTTGCTTCATGTAGCTTGCGCCGGAACGCGGCAATCGGCTCTCGCTAATACCTAGCAGCACCCAGCGTCACTCCCCCCGACTCCGCTGACTCTGCCACTTTCCCCTCAACCAGTGGCTGCATCAAGCAAACGCACAGAACAGAGGTGTCGCCGACTCCCAAGTGGCCAGCCAAGGCACTCAAAGTATCAAACGAGAACCAAACCCGAGTCGTCCCGGCAGGCAATATTTCCTTCAATCACACCGAGGTCGTCTCCGACAACGAAACAGCTATAGAAACTCCGGGGACTATAGTGTTGGTTTCTACACTCTCCTCTCCCGTTTTCACTAAGGTAGTTTCCGCTGACTCCGGGTCTCTATGGTATAGCCCCAGACCGACCTACAAAGACCTTGTCACACATGCCAAGGATTGTGCCACCGTCCGGGGGCCTAGGTCGCCACGCCTCTGGTCCTCTCAACCAGACGACCTGCCCCAAGGTCTTGCCAGGCTTCTCGACCATATAGCCGCCAGTTACGAGCCTGAAACGCTGGCCGGTATACCCTCAGCCGACATCCTAGACCTGATCTCCAAATGCGGTTTTAACAACCGTGACCAAGCGGAGACCGCGCTACGCTCCTGTTGCTACGACATGTTACGCAATGTCCTGGTCACCTGGCCCGAGGAGGCGCCGATTGTCAAGTGGTTATCCGATGCCGTGGCCAAGTCGTTTCGAAAGGTCAAATGGAACACGGAAACTGAAAAGGGCCTTCTCACAAAACTGCGGCCACCCAGTCCTCTTGAGCTTTCGGCCCTGGCGCCCAAGACACAGGATCCTAGCCCCGCGGCCTCGGGCCCGCCGAGGGGAGCCGCTCAGCCTCTCACAAACTGGCGACTCCGGGAAGACAGCTCTAGCGAGATGCCTCTGTTTGATATTGAAGTCGGAGGAGGACTCTACTGGGTGAAGGAGGAAGATGCTCACCGAAACTGTAAACGTCAGCTGCTGAAATTCTGGAACGATCGAGGCGGGCGCGACGAGGTGATCAAGAAAGCCGGTTGCGCTATAACCAAGAACACCAAGTTCCCCATCCACGATCTTCTCAAAGAGAGTTCAGACGGCTCTAAATTTCGCGTTGAATGGGTGGGCTATGAAGATAAAAGCCGCTCTTGGGAGCCGGCGAGCGAAATAGATGAGAAGGTCATTCATGCGTTCAGACAGCGGAGGCTCCGTAGGCGGGTTTAGTATAGGAGGACCTTGGTGTGTAAGGATCAACGTTTTGTTCGTGATGTTCCCCTTAGATGCTCGTCCTATTCCCCAATGAGACCCATTTCAGCACGGAGCCGCATTGCGCACTCTGTCATCCACCTCGATACATTTGCTCTGCTATTACATGTCTAATGCCGTTGACCTTGGTCACGAGCTGCTTCTGAGATGTCAAGTGGGTCTCGGGCTTGATGATATCTGTCACGGCACGGCTGGTCGGGTTGGTTACAGCCCGGCGACAGGTGTAAAAGACAGCTTCATAGTGCAGCCAGTGGTTCGATCTGTCGGATTGAATCATTTGTACCCTTTTACGGGAACATGGTGCAACGGTATGGCTGCACGTTGTGTGCCGTGACAATATCCTTCAATGCCGTCGTCTATAGATGCTGGCACCCGAACTGGCGGTAATAAGCAACTTGGCTTAGGGATGTGTTCTAGGCGCTACCCTAGTAATTAGCTACGTTGGACTTATTGTCAGGTATAGACGGCGAGTGGCGGCTCATCGTCTGTAGGCGCTAAGGGGACATGCGAAGCTGGCGATAAGATTTGGCTGAGCCTAAGTCGTTCTCGATACGGCATTGGGCCGTTGTTACTGAAATTCAACTGCTCCTCCCCCAATGCACGGCACTTACAGAGGGGATCCCTCCTGGAAGCTCCGCTAATTTTACCTCTCAACCCCCCGCCAAGTTCTGGGCGTGCTCTTGCTTGTCCGGATCTAGTAGCATATGCAAGTGAGAATGTGGGTCACGCATAATACGGCCCTCGACGGCATGTTTTAGGAACTATTGGTGGCCTAATTATGGTAAACATTGCGCACTGTGTAAGCGTGCTCCCATCATCCGAGCAGCCCCCGCACCGAGTTTCCCATGTCACCAGAACATTGGCCAAGCCGCGTACAGGCCAACATGCTCAAGGAGTTATGGGCTAAACCGCTCTGGCGAAAGACAGCCGGTTCAAGAGGCTGCAACGCCTATTTCCCCTGCCTATATCTCGACTTATATTCACTGTCGCTATTATACGGACCACTGCTGTCAGACATGAGTGCCTTGCCGTTACCTCCTTTCATGCTGCAGGATACATCGATTTAGTGTGCATTCCAGCGCTTAGAGATCTCTAAGCTTCCAGTGGGTCTTAGCAAGGCGGAACTTCCTCGCGATTTGAAACTTGCTGCGTGTATCAAAGTCTTGAAACGTGATTTGGCCGCGGATACAACGAGGTGTAGTCTTCGGTGAATTGGTCGCCGACGATGATTTCTCAGTCCTCTGAACGTGCTGCTGGCGACTGCCGGACAGGTGACGCAGACGGCTTGTTTTGGGCGGCAACACCTGGGCTCTTAGGCACTAACAGAGTCGGGAAAGGGACTCGCTTGGCGTTAGCTATAGACATGATAAGAGAGGATAATGTAATCTTATAGGAGAAACGAGGTATACAGGCCAATGCTGGCAACTGGGCTAGAAACTGTATGCGATTTTGACGCCCCTTGTATCCTACACTTGTATCCTACACCTGTATCGTTGGGATCTTGTGCTGCCAGTGCCCTTGATGGCGGACGCGGTGAGTGTGTCGCGGAATGAGGGCGGCGTTTGAGAAGAGCGGCGCGAGTAAGGGTGCTGGAACCTGCCATTGCATGCAAGCCACCCATCATCAGTCTGCACGCCGTGGGTTTGGCACAAGCACAAAGTCCCATCTGAAACTGCCAAGCTCGGCTGCAACCTCAGCCGCAGATTGTGACATCTGACTGTGCCATTTGACTGTGCCGTTTGCCATCATTGGGCGTCTTAAGGCGCATGTCACACACATGGCACAGCCGAATGGCAGAGTCTACCACGGTCGCCAAGTTGCCAACAGATGGAAACAAGAGCGCACCCATGTCGCGAGAACCAGGTCACTGGTACTCGGACCTTATACATACATGTACAGAACGGAAAGAAGACACACCTCGACATCACCTCGACATCACCTCGACATCACCTCGACATCACCTCGACATCACCTTGTCCAGACGCCAAATCCGAGCTTCATCTTGTGGACGATATAACCCAATGTCCGCTACTGGTGCCCTCGGAGAAAGTTATTTCGAGTTGGCCCTTCCTGGAAGAATTACCGATCTGTACATCCATACCTTCGTCAAGGATACAAGCTCTTATGGCTTGATGAGGTCTGCGAATTCCGCGATGATCACTGAAAAATCGGTCGCTCGAACATCTCTATTCCGGTCTTCGAAGAGATGCTTCTGAATTCGGACGCCGAATTATCCATCGAATCAGCATTGCTCTATGGTCCTCGACTCCCCTTCCCGCCAGACGATCCGCTAGTTCTTCAAACCTTTTTCGGCCTTCCATCCCTTCCTTATCCTGAGGTATTTATGGAGTATCCGTACCGGAAGAAGAGGACACAAGAGGTTATCCCAATCAGGAACGTTATTTGCGGCCTCTACGTATGGAAGTTCGAAAGCAACCGAGTCGATAAGGATGAGCCACAAACGGTGTTGGTTCTTGCGATGTGGGCTAGCAGGTCAGGCAAACAATTGCCATTGGAGAACGAGGAAACGCTCCATGAGCATAAGAAGGATATGTTACTCAAGTTCTGGGAAGCAAGAGGTGGACGCGACGAAGCACTCCGCCGACAGAATGGTACAGTAACGAGGATTGACCGTTCCTCGTTCACCGTATTCTTTGACTTCGGACAGTTCGGAAAAGGCGGCAGTATCTTATTGAGTGGGTGGGCTATGAGACGCCAACATGGCACGATAGGCGTGGTCTACCTCTACCATTGATTTAGGAGTTCGAACATGGACGAAGGGGAAAGAAGAGGAGAATATGCAAGCAAAGAGATCAACATCCTGTGGGACTCCACCAGCAATGTCCTGAGTTGTACCTACGAGTAGATACTTGGTTGCATTGCCTCGATGTGTGTACAGTCGTCATTGGCTTGAGCTTGCAGCCTGAAACATCGGGGATCACAATGTCCTCAGCAGTAACAGCAATTGCTGTCGTCTGGCTCAGGTACCCACTATTCGCAAACTGGTTGAGCTCGATGAGCCGTACCGCGACGCTTCGTCGAAGTTGCTGCCGCAGACACAGACCATATAGAACCTTAACCCGCAATACATCGTCTGTGCATGAATCAGGCGAGTTGGCTTTAAAAGCAAAATATGGATCATCCAGCAAGTGGTCTGACACGCTGAAGCCGCTTTGGAATTTTATATATAACTTCCTAGAAACGGCACAGCTGTTAGTTAAATTCGGTTTACGATGAGTGTGCACGAGCAGCGGTGCTCAATGGCTTTCCATCCATATATATTTCAAACGGAAAATTAAGCTAACGTAGCTAACGTTAGTCACCCCATTTCTTCTTTGTACCTGCATTCCTCTCTCCGAATCCGACATCGAATAATTTAACGTTCAAGACATGCAGGCGACCACGGCTCCTAGGCAATTCAATGGTCAGCTCCAAAGCGACGTTTATATATACATAGACTACACAAGCGTGTTAACTCAAGCGCATAAGAAATACCCAGACTGGCGTTTCGATGTCGGCCTTCTAGCCGAAGAACTCCTAAAGGAGTATAAACTAACGGCTGAGAAGCAATACTCTGTCAAAGTCGCCTTGTATGGATCACCACCTCCTCCTGACGATACAATCTGGGAAGCAGTACCGTTCTGGGATGTCGACAGCATCGCAGATGAGGACACATATAATAAAGGCATAACAGACGTCGAGCTCACTGCAGACATCGTGAACATGGCATCGGAGGCGTTCCATCGCCAGGTTCTGGGTATGTTTATCATCGTCTTAGGAGACAGAGATCTCCTATATCCCTTGAAACTCATCACCGAGAAGTATGGCCATCAGGCGAATCTATGGTTGTGGGAGAATGCCCTATGGCGTACATCCATAAAACACGAGAAACAAGACCAAATTCAAGCACACACCCTGGACAAGTACATTGAGAACGTTGGATGGTATCTTCCCAGAGATATGCCCTTCGTACGGTGCCAATCGGAAGATAACTCTATCGGCATTCGAAATAATGACAGAGATAACAATGGAGATAAGGAAAGCTCTGTCGAAGTAACTCGTCAACCTTTGATGCAGCAAAGTAAACCCTCGCGTTGCTATTGGCGAGAATATTGTCGGTATGAACTCACCTGCAAGCATCTACACACTGAAAAAGAGAAAGAAAGGTTCAAGCTTCACGGCAGTCAAAGAGCAAAGAAATATCGCTTCTGCTGGGATGCAGAGTGCAGTCGAGGCAGCCGCTGCTGGTTTGCCCATAGCGAGGCAGAATTGTTCTGTCCGACGTGCGGAAAGTCGGGGGCGGGGCACGATATGGGCCATTGTCCTAAGGGTACTCAATTACACATGCTAGATTGAGAAATTATCCTCGTAACTATCAAACGAGAGTTATTATTATTATTCCTACACCGCTATGCCCTAAGGCGTGCCGGTCCACCTGTCTAGCTAGCCGTATAGGAAAACCGCACTAATTACCCAGCCGGGCGAAAAACCTATACCGATGTTACCTTGGCCCGTCACTTCAGCGTTCGTCGTACTACGGTTGAAAGGAGCCTACCCCGCTCCCTGCATTCCCACATCCTGGTCGCCAGCCTCCAAAGTAGCTGCAGCCCCTGAGGCCGTAATCTCCGGGCCTGTTGCACTCTCTCCTTGGCCCCCAGCCAGATCTGTATTGACCCTCGTCGCAAAGGTCAGCTTTCCTTGCCTCAAACTCATTGCAGCCTCCCCCTGGGCTATGAGAAAATTGGGGGGTCGACCCCGAAAGTCTCTTCCTTTTTCCTGCTTCTTGGAAGCCATCGTCGGGCCTTGGTGCGAAGCGTCCATGCTGGGTCCAAGCTGAGCGCCGCTGTTGTCACAGATTCCCAGCCTATTTTGCCTTTGGCCCAAACCGTCGTTTGATCATCATCGGCCGATTCGAATCCGCGGCAGCAGACGTTGGGGGAAGGTCCGTAGGGGAAGTGATGGACTGTAACAAAGAATGGATTTCCCCTCCACGCAAGGGTTCCCCATTGGAGATGGGACCGGTACTCTGCATTCTCCCCTACCGAGTTGTTAGAGGATATCTGCCAAGCATTTCCTGAGTGCTTACACTTCTTAAAGATAGGCTCATCAGAAAAAAGGAACCGGACACAGAGTGCTCGTGATTTTATGCACCGTTGACAGGCGTTACCCATCATCTCGCACTGTAAGCATTAGCGCGGTTTCGACATGGGTCCTAGTGTGCGTTACCTTCAAATGCCGTGAGATACGAAGCACGCATCGTGAGGTTTCCTGTCGAAGGGTGACGCCTCCAGTGCCACCACTGGTCTGCAGGTTGCCTGGAATGGCTTGAATATGAGGTGCATCTGGAAACCGGACGCAATACACAATACAATACAATTTATTGACGCCCGGCGGGTAACCCGGAAGGGCAGCTATTACAATCTGACTATACATTTCCCAAGATATGTCCTGATCTCGTCGAAGCCCATACAAAATTCATTCTAGTTCATGTCCTCTCTCATACCATTTCTCTGCGGATTCTCGTGGGTTAGTAGGATTTAGCAGGCTTGTTTGAAGGCGATTCTCCAAGTGTTCAACGTCCTATCTTCGGCGGCTGAAGCGGTGTCTGCTGTCCGTAGCACGAGGTGAGGGGGTGTAGGTTCGGTCGGGTGTGGTGGGTTAGGTGTCTTAGTCAGCCTGCGGTTGGTTCGTGTCAAGCCGGCCCGTGGCCATTGCGAACCGTATGGTTGCCCGAACGGCCGTCATGTTAGGAATCCAGTCTTTCTTATCCGATCGCGACTTCCCTCCTAGATAGAAGGAAATATTGCTCCTGTGGTTGTCTGTACATTCGAGTATCTCTGGTCGATATGCTGTCCAGTTTCTGCATTCGGAAGAGGAAGTGGTCCACTGTCTCTGTTGCTTGTCCGCATGCGCACTGATCTGACGGAGCTGCTCCGATCCGGTGGAGGTAACCGTTGAGTCTTGCCATGCCTGTTCTGAGCTGAGTGAGTACGCCAGCGTCCTTTCGTGACAGGTGGTCGTACAGCAGTCGGGTTTGTTTGCCTGGTAGTGCTGCGTCGACTCGCTTGGAATGAGCTCCGACTTTGTCTGGCAGCTGATTGCTGGTGCTTCTCTTGGACCATACTACGTTGAGCGTTGTTGAGCGTGTCCTGGGCTTTTGCGTCTGCGGAGTGGCACCCTGTCTAGTGGCGTGTTTGGCATTCTTCTTAGCGGACATGCTCTAAACGTCGCTAGAATGCGCTTGTCCCAGCTGGAGCGGGGATGTAACGCGAAGGCATTGGCTGCCAACGGACCAAAGACGTCTGCAATGTTCCTTGCCACCAGCTGTTCTTCCAAACTTACTTCACACGCATCTGGTGGCTCTCTATAAAATTCCTCGCGGAGTTCAAGGACACACCGCAGAAAATGCACGGGGTAGGGCCAACTCCGCCATGGTCGTGTTTCACTGAGCGTACCCCACCGCAACTCTCCCAGTGTCAATGTCACGGTGGAGCCGTCTCCCTGTTTATAATTGGGCATCACAAGAGCTCGCCCGGGCAGCCCCACGGAGCGCAATCCATCGGCTACTGAGAAGGCTGTTCCACCGGTTGCAATAGTCACCGTGCTGCTACACAGCTGGCGGCACATCATAAGGGCTATACGCAAAAGCCGTCAAAAGAAATTGTTAGAGGACGACTTATCAATTTTTAACATCTTTTTGCGGAAAGCCCCACCAAAACTTGAGAGAGTGGTGCACTCGCTTACATGGGTGAGCTGGCCGGCCTCCATGATCTGGTCCACCATGCTCTGCGCAATCGGCTTCAGCATACGCTGGCTGCTTT